ACTTCATTGTTCTTATTTATTTATTAAATTGATACTAATTTGGGTTTTTTGTTTGAGGAGTTACGATTCTATTATAATTTTTAGTGCCTAGACTTTGGGACTAGTGGGAAAAGATGGGAACGCTGTCTTTTTTCCATAGCTAATGGGATTAAAAACATCGGCGTAACCGCCGGGGGTGTCTCGTCTTCTCTGTCTGCACTTTCGGCAGCGTCCGGGAGGTTCTTTGCAGATACCTGCGCCTTGTCGTTGATTGTCGGCACAGTAGGGGAAATATTGATATCACTCTTAGTTGAAGGGGGAGGTCCCATGAGACTAGACGTATCCCCAGCCCTCATATATATCGAAAGTGGCACAACCTCACTCTCCACTGTGGTTAGAGCCGACGCTCCCACAATGTCCCTAGCTGTGGCGGAAGGGGACATCTCCAGATTTTTTTTCTGGGAAGGCTCAGGACGATTATGTGCAGGCACTTGTGGAGATAGATTTATAGGTAGGGTTGAAAATCCAGCCGACGAATTGCCAGTCGCTGTCTCGCGCTGACTTGTAGGTAGGGTTGAAAATCCAGTCGACGAATTGCCAGTCGCGGTCTCGCGCTTACTACGTTCCAGTATCTCCACAGTGGCCTTGAACTTGTTGTTCAGAGTCGCCAGTTCTGCGGCATTCTGGGCGGCCTCAGCCCTCGTTGCCTCCAGATCCCTCTCCATGATTTTCTTGTACACAATTCTTTTCTTCACCTCCATCTCGCAGGATCGTGTGAGCTCTGCGACATCCTCCCGAAGCTTCATGTTTGCATCCTTCTCGGCCTTGAGCAGCGTATATTGTGCAGCGTTCTTAGTTGCTTGCTGGTCCCGTTGCTCGCGGTAGTTGTTAATCCGCTCTAAACACTCATCCCTCTCTTTCCTCACCTCAGCCACCTCTTCCTTGCTTTTTTCCTGCAGCGCCTCAATAGCAGCACTCTCCTCTATGCCTCCCGACAGCTCGAACGTTGCACACTTAGCCTTCAATAAGCTGAGCTCGTCTCTGAGCTCATCTGAACTCACCCTGTGCTTCTCAATGGTCTCATCCAGGCTACGGTCCGATTTCTCGACCTTTTGGAGCGCTTCCTCCAGTTCTATGTTCAGCGCGGCAGTGTCAGATTCGAGCTCCTTCAACCGGATATCCCGTGCCTCCACGATTCCTTCCAACCGCTTAACATCTGCGACAAGGTCTCTCATATCGTTTTCAAATTTTTCCCGCACCTCTTCTCTCTCACGCTGATTCTTTTGGTCCAATGCGTAGAAAGTGGTTTCTCTACGCTGAAACTTGTCCTTCTCGTCTCTAAGTTTGACCTGCACCTCCTGGAGCTGGGCCTTTATGGCCAGCAATTCTCTGCCATTCCCTCCACTAGGCCTTTTGATCGATGCATACACCTCCGCATATAGATCGCGGAACTTGGCAATTTGTCGATCTCTATCCGACAAATTCCTATTCAGAACCTCAATATCATCAGTCATCTGATGCTGTGCGGCAAGGGTATCATCCAGTTTCTCCTGTAGCCAAGCGGCCGGATTAGCCTCAGGTGTTCTAAGTGCACTATTAAACTCCCCACTCTGAGAGCTCGGCCGATGTTGTGGATGTTGCTGAATCTGCTGCTGCGCTTCGCTTGTTTTCTTATGGACAAGCGCATCCACTTCCGCTGGGCTCATACCTCCTCGGCCCAGCATGCCTCCAAACACCATCAAAGCCAGTACGAATAGCAGTACGGAGGTGAAAGCCACAAACACATTAGCACCCCATACAAATTTATCAGTCGATGCCATTAACAACGACGGCCGCAGCAGATATAATGGAACAATGCCCTCCTCGAGCACCCCTCGGACCATATGTTCCTGGCGCAGGCGCTTCTCTAAGGCTTGGATCGTCTCTCTAGCAGCCATCACTTCAGTCGAGAGTTCAGCATTGCGGGCTTCAGCATTCTCCAAACGCTCCTGCGACTCGGCGAAATTACCTGTCGCGCCATCATCCTTTATACTAAATTTGGCATTTATATTCACATACGGATTGCCATCATCCTTCGGCTGAGATGTCTCAGGCTTTCCTGCATGGCCCGCATTCTCACCCACCACCGCAGTGGGTGTACACGCTTCCTTTAGAGCGCCCACAATGTCATAGTCCGGCCCATTCGCCATGGTCTCATCCAGGGCTTGTGCGCGCACCATGAGCTGCTTCTCTCTAAATATCATACGCATGTTCTCTGCCTTCAAGGCCTGCACCTCTTTCTGAGAGGCTGTCTCTCGCTTCACCACAGCATTCTCTCTGACAAACAGCCCCTTCTCCACCTCAGACACCGCCGCCTCTCGTTCAGCCAGTTTTTCAGTCAATTCCTCAGTCAGTTCCTGTGTTATTTTTTGAGTGAGTTCCACTGTTATGTTTTGAGTGAGTTCCTCTGTTTTGTTTTGAGTGAGTTCCTGTGTTATTTTTTTAGTCATATTCTTGGCCAATTTCTCGCACTCCGCACCCACTTGTGGGGTTTCCTTGTCCGCGGGGGCTTCGAGAGTCTCGGTGGGTGATGGTTCGGCCGTGACCACCTCTTGGAGGACGTCTGGCGGTAGAACTGAAGCAGGTGGCTTTAAAGTGGGTAAGTTTAAAGTGGGTGGGCCCAGCTTAGTTGGAGGTGCTGCAGTCGTACACCGGGAGAGGCTGTCTTGCTCCACTTTGTGCAACTCATCGGTCAGCTTCTGTACCTGCACATGCAGGTCGTACACCTTTTTTGTCTCTAGGCGCGCCGAGGAGTGGCACATGGCAACGGCACGAGCGGAATCGTTCATCGCTGCTGCGCTGGTTATAGCCTGCTTGGCGAGGCTAGCCACGCACTCGGTATACAAGGCTTCAGTTTCGTTGAGGGTGGTTTGTGTTTCGTTAAGAGCTATTTTGTGTTTCTCAGCATGATCGTGCGCTCGATGCTCACTGATATTGAATGCCTTGGCTACTTGCGCCAGTTTGGTGGAGGTTGCGTTTTCGCGGTCGTTGCACTCGGCAAGTGATGTATTGGTGAGGGTACGCGCAGTCTGTTCTGCTTGAAGAGTTGTGTTGCACACCTTAAGATCGCTTTCCAGGCTCTCGACACGCTCAGCCGCTGCGCTCAGTACCTTCTCCGCCGTCATCTTCTCGTTCAGAAGCAGTCTCTTCGCTTCATAACAGGCGGCCAATCTGATCTCCAAACCCTCTCCAGTAGATGTCAGGATGCTTATCTGGCTCAAATGCGTGGTCTGGTTAGCGCCACACTCGGCATTCAGTGCGTCGTAGGCTTCCTGTGAGGTGTTACACTCAGTTTGCAAGGCTGTACAGGTCTCATTCTGGGCCAAATATAATGCGTGCTCAGCCTCACAAGCAGTCTTAAGCTCCTTGATTTCGCCGTCCAGTTCCTTTAAGGCGTCCGCTTTCTGCACAAGAAAGGCTCGCAAGTCCTGTAGTTCTGAAGCTGGGGCTCCTCCGAACGCACCCGGGTGTCCGTAAAGGCTCTCACCGCTGAAACAGAAGAATACATGTACATTTGAGCGATGAACTAACGGGACGTAGTGATAGAAACCATTTCAAATAACAATTCACACTCGTATCTTAAGGCAAATACTTCTGACAGGTAAGACATAGTGTCAGTGCAACAGCACGAGGGCAATACTAATGTTCTACACATAAATAACAGAATCCAACAAAGTTCATCAGGCATACTATGGGACTCCCGGTGGTGCTCGAAGCTGGGCTTGCTGCTGGAACCCTGCAACCTGGACTTGCGAACGTATCTCTGCAATGATCTCCTTGCCCACCCTTCGAACGGCATCGCGTGTATCTTCATGGCGACGGTCACTATCCCTGGAATCTTCATATCTGCGACGTTCCTTGTCGACGCGATCTAGTTCTCGGCGCCGTTCCTCGCGATCGTGCCGATAGTACCGGTGACCGTAGTCTCGGTCGTTCACTTTCCCGGCTGGTCCATCGCTGTAGGACGAGTCATACGCATATCCACTGTCGTACCCATAGTCTCTTTCGTATGCAAAGTCTTTGTCGTATACATAATCTCTGTCGTATAGATAGTCTCGGTCGAATCCATAGTCTCTGTCATATATAAACTCTCGGCCAGTCGGCCGGCCGGTAGGAGATTCATTGTATGCTGACTCGGATCTGCGAGTGGGTTTGGGAGGTCGCGTGGTATCTTGGTCTACCGGTGATTGTGGAACTTCGAAAGGTTGCTGTGGGCCCACTAAAGGTTGTTGTTGTGCCCCTAATGGCTGTTGTTGTGCCCCTGAGGATGGCTGTGGGCCCAGAAAAGGCTGTTGTTGGGCGTCTAAGGATTGCTGTTGCGGCCCTGAGGGTGGATGTGGACCCATTGAAGGTGGTTGTAAACTAGGTAAAGGTGGCTTCGGTTCTAATGGTCCTTGTTGTTGCCTTGAGGGTGGTTGTGGACCCATAAAAGATTGTTGTTGGGCGTCTAAGGGTTGCTGTTGCCCTGAGGGTGGTTGTGGACCTATATAAGGTTGTTGTTGGGCGATTAGGGGATGCTGTTGCGACCCTGAAGGTGGTTGTGGACCGACTGAATGTTGTTGTAAACCAGGTAAAGGTTGCTTCGGTCCTACTGGAGCTTGCCGTTGCCCTGAGGGTGGCTGTGGACCCATAAAAGGTTGATGTGGACCAGCCAGATGTTCTGGTGATGGAATATTGAGAGTGGAGAGTGGTGCCTCCATACGTGTGCCCTCCACAGTTTGTTGGGGAATACCTAGTGGCTGTTGTAGAGCTCCTGCGTGCGCTTGTGCGACACCAGACGGTGGTTTCAAAACATGACGCGGTTCTTGTGGGACTTTCAAGTTACCAGCCCTGATTTCTTGCTCGAAGCGCTTCACTAAGACGAGAAATTCTTCGTCATTTTCAAAATCGCCGAGTTCTGTTTGAAGGTGAAGTAAAACAAAGCCTGAGTTCAGTATATCAAGCAGTAGGAATGATACATTTATATAAATCATATAC